TTTAAATCCTACTTACTGGCTATACTAAAAATACAACCAAAGGGAATACATTACAACATGCTTCATGGAGCATGTGTTCATGTGCAAAAACTATGGAAACCTACAGCCCTTTCTACCCTAGGTGGGAAGAATTAATTTCAGATTTAATCACCCTGCTGCATATCAGGATCACTGATAAGGAGGTGCAGAATGACTGCCTTAACAGAAATCTGGCGGTGCCAGGCACAATGCTGTATTGCAAAAATAACAGACAAATCTTCTGTACGTGGCTCGTTAACGAGACATGCAGGCCAGACCTACACTGATCATTCCAAAAAAATCTGCCACAACCTGGAACGTAGCAGCTGCATCAGTCTTAGTTGAAATGTAAGACAGCAGAATATCAGTCTCTTTCAGATTACACATGACATCTGCTCAAGCAAAATTACATGCCACGATGTTAATGAAAGACCTCGGTTTTCCTATTAATGATGGGATTTAGTTTTTTCATAAAAGTTAATAACCAAAGATGAACGTTAGAAGCTAGAATCCCAAAAATCCAAACTGCAATCATTTCTTCACGCTGTCTTTCAGGGAATACCATCTTTGATTTCATGAAGAAGAAAGAGGTAGAAGATGGCTTTAAAGAAGAAGCTTTAAAGGTAGAAGCTTTAAAGAAGATGGTTGAATATTTTAATGCAGAGAGAATATTGCAAGCTGTGAAAATGGTTCTCCTTCAGAAACAGTACACTACAAAAATGCAAAGAAACGTACTGGATACTGATAGACTGCTACCAAGCAGTTATAAACTAAGGCCAAGGACGTGCTTTGGTTTTAAGTGGAATAAATGGTTCCTCTGTCCCCTAAGGAAAACTCACAGTGGAAAAAGCTAAGCAGGAATTTAAGGCCTTGCAGGACTGGAATTTTAAGAATAAAAACAATATATGAAATAACAAAAAAAAGGAACCAGGGACTATCAAAGTGCACTTGTATGTTTAAAAAAAAAACAACCATAAAAACCCCCAAACTACTGAGGAAATAGCAACAGATCACAGAACTGAATTGCTAGGGTAGATCTATCAACCCATAAGTTCATTATAAAATATCACAAATTGTGGCACTTTTCTTTTAGTGATTTGAAGAACACACATTGTCATACTACCGATAAAGTTGGTGAATTTCAATGCTTCTATGCCCCAAAGCTGAAGATTTAAGCAAGTGCTTAATTTCTGCCCACAGAATAATTTAAGACAGACTTACAGTAGGTAGTGTGGCCTTAAGTCCCTACAGGTGTGAGAGTTCAACAATAAGAACATCTGCAGTGAGAAATTAGTCCCAAGGAGCAAAAAAATAACATAGCATGTTTGCCTGAAAATAATGTGTTATTGGTTGAGCTGTTAAGTCACACAAAATATGCAGCATTCTTCATTTGACTCAGTTTCTTTCTGGACATTATGTGGCATTTTTCAGTTACTGAGTATTTCAAGCATTGAAGACTGAGGAAGAGACAAAATTCTTATGATGTTTATTAGTTTTAAGTTTGTTGGGTAATGGTGACTATTGTCTGTTACCATTTAAAATAGGACAGAAGCGTAGCCCCAAAAGAAAAAAGGAGCAAGTGCCCCCTCAGGATAACAGCCTTCAGAATGAAATATGATGGTTTTAACTTAAAAGACTTAAAGTTTTATGTATTTTCAGCAGCAAGCATCCTGCTATGAGGAAAGAGGAAGTAGCATTGAATGAATTGCCTTTTTGTTTTCTAGTCAATCTGTATTTAAAGCTTTAAATAGCTTAAGTACTTGTTAAATATGTTTTGAAATACATCAAGGGCAGACTATTTACCTTATATTAAGAGCCTTTATTAAAAAAAAATGAGCCTATACCCTCTTCAGCTGTGACCAAAGGGAACACCCTTGTCTCACCTTACTAAGAATTGCGTTTACTTCCAGGATACTGGTCTTTCTTAATATCCAAAGAAACGATCTGCATTTGAAGACCACGGTGATATCCATAAAATCCAAAAGGACTACCAACTAGTAAGTTATGAGAATGCTTCCCATTTTTACACGACATACTTTTCAAACTGAAGAACGAAAAGTGTTGCAACAGAATGTTCTACTTCCTAAAAATATTTGGATTCAGATAGCAACCACAGTCCCCACGGACGCTTACAGACTTTGCCCACCACTGTAAACATCATCTCTGTCACAATATTCACTCTCTTCTTCAGACTCCATGAGGGCCTCTCAAGCAAGTAAATCCAGTATTTTCACAGGATCGTAGAATAGTTTGGGTTGGAAGGGACCTCTAAAGGTCATCTAGTCCAACCCCCTGCAATGAGCAGGGACATCTTCAACTAGATCAGGTTGCTCAGAGCCCCGTCCAACCTGACCTCGAATGTTTCCAGGGATGGGGCATCCACCACCTCTCTGGGCAACCTGTGCCAGCATTTCACCACCCTCAGCGTAAAAAATTTCCTCCTCAGATCTACTCTAAATCTACCCCCCTTTAGTTTAAAGCCATTCCCCCTTGTCCTGTCGCAACAGGCCCTGCTAAAGAGTTTGCCCCCGTCTTTTTTATAAGCCCCCTTTAAGCACTGACAAGCTGCAATAAGGTCTCCCCAAAGCTGCCTCTTCTCTAGGCTGGACAACCCCAACTCTCTCAGGCTTTCTTCATAGGAGAGGTGTTCCATCCCCCTGATCATTTTCGTGGCCCTCTTCTGGACCCGCTCCAACAGGTCCGTGTCTTTCTTATGCTGAGGGCTCCAGAGCCAGACACGGTACTCCAGGTGGGGTCTCACCATTTTGGTATATTTTTTTTACCAAATAAACCACAGCCAGTTGACCTGTAAGATTTTTCCATGTAAAATATGCAGTCTTGCAAATATTTGTTATTTTGCAGTCAATTATCACACAAAAGTTTTTCTTCTCCAGTATAAGTTCTTGCTGCTCAGTTTCTTTGAATCTACCCTTATTATTTGTAACAGCAGCTATGGTTATCTACATTCTCAGAGTTCACTTTAAGTGGACTGAAATGTGTCAAGATAGGAACAGCTGTACCCCGTCACATAGTCCAGAATTATATCCCTTATCCAGGGAAATACCAGATGTTCACAGAAAAGCACAAAGAACCTACCATAAGTTACAGACTTGCAAAGAAATTTTCTTTTGTCTTCCCATAGCAAGAATCAGCCAAGTACTGAAGTATGAGAATTTGCCCTCGCTGAAAGATATTATTGTTCTTACATGAAAATCTAATTATTTCTCAAATCCTGTACCCTGTTCTGCTTACTGTGCGCTTCCCTCCCTTAAAAGCGTGATCCACAGGAAATCTTGAATATGTTCCTAGAATTTTATTTTTTAAATATTTAAGCTTGTCTTCTTATTAACAAACTGCTTATGAAAAAAAAAAAAAAGAAAGAAAGAAAGAAAATAAACGAAACCTTTGGCAGAGAGCTTGGCAACATATGTTGCCTCCCTGCTGGACAATGACTTGTTAGCATTTACTTGTCTGCTACCAAAACTTCTTAAAGTGGCAAGTAGAATTCTGGTGCAATTAAAAAAAAATACATATACACACATATAAACACGTGCTTTCAAGTTCTTGCAGTTTGGTATACTGCATGAACATGCAATTATTTCTCTAATGCCAACAGACTAGTATAAAGCCCATCAAGACAACTTTGCTTTCTTGTTGAGCAAACATGAATTGGCTTTTGCTTACTATTTCACAGTTCATAGAACAAACTGTTAATAGGAGGATAGTCTCATTTTTGCAAAATTACAGTAAAGAGTAGACACTTCAAGTTTCAGATATTTATTAAGCCTCATCAAAACACTTTCAAACACATAACCAAGTGCAACATGAGGCAAGTTTGATTATTTCCTGGATGATTAAGCATGACAATTGTGCGGACAGCTTCCGGAAGACCTTTCTGTGCAGCTTATGGAGATGAGTGTGTTGTTCAGAAGTCAGGACGGTCCTTTTTCAGTCTACTGTAGTCTACATTAACCGAGTAGAACTAAGAAAGAGAGGGGAAAAAAACGAGTGAGAAGCTCAACTATCCATTTTCCGTGGTATTTACTAAAAAATATGCATCATTTGAACTATGATTCAGTCAGGAAACTGAAATTATAGTTTGAGTCTGAACACTAGACAATAATAAATAAATAAAAAGCTTTGAAGAACTTTTTAATGTTATCTTCATTCTGCATACAGTATTAGAAGCTCTGCATTTAAAACGAGGCAGTGGTCGTGTCTACAGCTAGAGGAAACCCACCGCATCTCTTTAACCCCTAGAATTAAAAGTCCATTCACAGGAATTTCTTACAGTACTGCAGACTTTATCCTTTTTGCACAGAATTTATGTGCTCCTGTATACCGAAGGCAACACCTAGCTTGTCAAGTGGCACAAAGCATGGTGTATGTGAACAGACAGCGTCACAAGGGAACATTTAGAGCAGTGCTGCAAAAGCCATGTTTGGTTTAAGTAGCTGCTTCTAGAACTGCAAGGTATGACAAGGAGGGAGGAAAGTAAGAACAGATCCTTTCACACTCTCAGTTTATATTAATAAAGCTGGATCCCATTACAAGCAATTCAAGACAGCCCAAATAGTCACCGAGGACAATGAATTTACAGACTAAAAGCATATTTTGGCAGCCAAGCCTGACTTGACATCAAGCATGTGATGCTATAGTTTTTCTTTAAAAAAAAAAAAAAAGAAAAGAGTAAGAAATATTTACCTATTAGCTTGATTATTTTTAGTTCTGCCTGATTTTTTTTTTTTTTTTTAACTTCCTCGGAGAAAACAAAACAACCTACAGCACATTCAAATTACAGCTTTCTGTGCCACTCCTACAGTAATGGTCTTCAACTCTTTTCTTTGGGAAGACTGAGGAAGTTGATATGACAAACTGAAGTTTACAAAAGAAAAACGATTTAATCAAAAGCTAAAACTTCTTATATCAGAGCTTTTTACTAAACAGTCATCCTCAGTTTAGAGCATCTGCCTTTCCATTTCCCACAGTACAGATTTGGGAAAAAAATCCTCAATGATACACACACCCAAATATGGTAAACCCTGAGGTTGTGTTTGCATGCTAAGACAGAAGGGGAATGCTACACAAGGCATGCACTCTTTAAAAGAATTTCTGCTGCGCGCTATGTTGCATTTGCCTCTTAGATATTTAAGAAACAGCAACATTCCAGAAGCAGCAATGAAAACAAAATATTATGTTCTTCCTGGACCTTTAAGGGAACTGCAACAAATTTTATTTTGGAGTGTGGGGTTTTTTTGCTTATTTCAATGATTGGAATGGTGAGATATGGTACTGAACAGACACTGGCTTCGAAAACATAGTAGGTTTGCTCTTTTAGTAGCTTGAGGATAATCTCAAAATATTCTTAACAGGAATCTACTAAAATACCATTTTAGTAAAACATGATAAAAACATGATTTCTGTAAACTACCAAATGTTTTACACATCTTTGCATGTTTCCTCATCAGTTCAATGAAATAACTTGAATATTACTTAAAGAACATTTCTATTGCATCCAGTTACTTACAGACAATTGTTTCATTTTCAAACAATCAACTGTAGAACTGAATTAGTGTTTATGTTAAACACTGACATTTCCCTGCTTTGCTTCTCATGAGTAAAGGCCAACAGTTTAAAGTTCAGAAAGCTTTAGTTCAGAACTTATGAGGTTTTGTCCTTCTCCCTGTAGTTTATTTCTGAGTATTACGAGCTAGCATATTCTTCCTCTCGCATATAATTCCTCTTTTTCTTATAGTACAATATGTGACTGCTTCCGTATAGATTCCTTTCACCCCATTATCAACCAACTCTAGGAAAGTTTTAAATCTTAAACTCAGCTCTCTGGTCTGAGTTCTAGAGGCAAACAAATGTTGCACAGCAGAGGAAATACATCACTCATTCAGCTGCTTTCCAATATACTCAAACATCCTAAAGCAGCAGGCTACACCTTTGACATTATGTTTCCTAAAACTCTGTATGTTTCATTTTACCTTGTACTGGTCACTGGGAGACAGTTTGTTCCAAGGTTCTGGATTATTTTTCTTGTCCCAGCTATTGAGAGAAAAGCAAGATATGAGAACATATTAAGAGAATCAGACTATCTTAAACGTAAATAAAATTCCTATGTGTGTTGTGGTTATGTAGCCATGGAAAGTCACCCATCCAGTAAGTTTCCACAGAAAGAGACACAGTCCTTTGTCAGTAGTCTCTAAATATCATATTGTAAACAAACAAATCTCCAAATCAAGGAAATCTCCACACACTTTGTGCCAGTGATATTGGAGTAAGACATTAAGGCCTCCAGAAACATAAAGACCAAGGCAGTGAAGTTTACTTTAATACATACAGCAAGAGAACAGGGCACTGTGAATTATTTTATACATACCAGACATCAGGGTTGAACATTGCTAAACGCATGAGATACAGGGCTGCGCCAACGCCTCCAGATCCAATGATCAAAAACAGAGGAATCAACTAGAACAAAAAAAAAGAAAAAGTTAAATGTCATACCACAATACAACAAAATAGCACTATTACATAGCATTTCTGACTACAGCAATGACAAACCAAAGAACAAGCTCACACACTTTGAGCCATAATGCATGGCCCTCCAAAACCCTGACATAAGCTCCCTGTGTGCAGGACATCCCTGGGGTCAGAAAAGAGCTAGGAGCTACGAAGAGGCAGACATGAAGAGAATACTGCTACATGCAGAACAACCAAACATCCCGTAACAGCACATTTCTGAGAAACAAACATCAGTCCCTCCACTGCCCAGAACAGCCCCTACCATCTGTATCCCTGATCATAAAGCAAGAATGGGAGCGGGGGGTGTGTGGGGAAAGAGCTGAACAAGAAGAATGGAAGATCCACCTTGAGCCTTGCTGCTGCAGCATGAGAAAGGCCCACACATTCTAGAGGAGAAAGGGGACCTGACCGCGTCTCGCCGATCAGCCCCGAGCTGCCCGCGCTCCGTCAGCCCCGGCCCACCC